ACCTGCTATACTTCATTTCATTGTGTACAAAGGTCTCTGTTCCAATTGACTGTGGGTGCTTTGGGAAATATTTTCCCATGAGCCTGCTCCATAGTAGCAATAGCACTTAGACTATATACTGCCCTCTTTACAGCACTCTCTGAGCGGTTTATAATGTCAGTATCATGACCCCAACAATCTGGGTCTTCATTTTACCAACCTTGGAAGGATGAAAGGCTGAGTCAACCTTGAGCCAATCAGGATTGAACTCCAGACTGTGGGCAGAGTTAGTCTGCAATACTGCATTCTGACCACTGAACCACCAGGGTTTCAATGCCTATTTTGCGTAGGGATGCCTCCCTTGAAAAGCTGGACTAGGGGGGGTGGGGATTTCTTTCATTTTTTTACAGGTTCAAAGGTTGATTGGTGAAGTCTGGCCTTCCTTCTTTCTCTTCCTCCCAAATAAAATTGACAAGATTTTGCCAAGTTTCTCATTTTAGCCCAAGTGACTGGAAGAGCCATAAAAGCAATTAGCTCATGCTTTCCTGGGATTGGTAGGAGAATGAAGCAGGGAAATCCACTGATGAGGAGTTCTTTTAACAATGGCCAAGACAGAATCCAGTCTATCACTGTGGTCAAAATGAGGAAAGGGCATGAAATTCAGAGAATGATTTCTTAAACAATCTGTTTATGTATGAGAGAGAAACAGCTGAAGGAAGCAACCCTTAAGCCTGCACTGGCTCAATAAAAATGTGGAGCAAGCAGGGAAAATTCCATTTATAAGAAGGAATCATTATTCTTTGCTGTCCCTGCCAGCTTACTTCCATAGTGTTGGGGCAATGATTTTAAGTGATCCTTTGTATGGTGACCATTGGAAATTTGAAAGAATTCAGTGCATTATCAGGAATTTTGTTCCAGTTTGCTGATCTGCAAAAAAGGCAAGCTGTGACTGATTTCCTCTGTCTTGACTTATTAAATTCAACTTGTCCTTACAATCTGTGAAAAAGGAAGCCTAGGAAGAATCTGGCCAACCATTTTCACATAGTTTATCTTGATTGCACCTGAAATTGTTTTTTTATATTTTCTGCAAATCCATTTCTTTCTTTCTTTCCCCTCTTCTAGAGTTAGCCATTTCTCTGCTTTAGTGTTTCAGAACCTGTTCCTTTCTTCTTTCCTGGGCCCAGTTCTGCAGGAAGTCTGTCTGTACTTAAGATGAGCTTCTTTGGCCTTCCTCCTGCATGTACAGTTCACCAGATCCTTAATATTTATTTATTTATTGGTTTGATTTATATGCCGCCCTTCTCCGGAGACTCAGGGCAGCTTACAATGCGTTAAGCAATAGCCTTCATACTTTTGTATATACCTGCTTAGTAGGGCTTTCGGCCCCCCCAAGTGGTGTTCTTTTTTATACAAAGTCAGCTTATTGCCCCCACAATCCGGGTCCTCATTTTACCTATCTTGAAAGGATGGAAGGCTGAGTCAACCTTGAGCCTGGTGAGATTTGAACTTGCAGTAATTGCAGGCAGCTGGTGCTACTTAACAGCACTTTAGTCTGCTGTGCCACCAAGGCTCTTGCAATATGTACACATTTGCAACAAGGCAGGCAGAATTTGCTTTCCCAAATAGACTCATTTATCCCACTATAGGACAACTTTCTGTAGTCTTGCTGGGTGATTACGGGGGGTTGAAGTTCAACCCACTTGGAGGGCATCTCTTTGAGGAAAGCTGATGTGGGTAATTGGGGAGATGTTCAGTAGACCAGTGATTTTCTCAGCAGTTCCTTCAGTGCTACTGAAGACTAATTGGTTTGAGCCTTATGAGTTAATGGCAAGGTCTGGATAAATTTTCAGTTTTTGCTAGAGAAATGGCAGCTGGCAAAGCCATGTCCTTTGTCTCTGCAATTTGTTAGTCAGTGCTCTCCAGCTGGTAGGAGAAAGGTTGCCACGCTTCACTGTCAAGTAACTGCAGCTAGGGCAATCTGTCATCTCTGCTCGTTTGCCACTGCCGTTATTCAGGCAGCATGGTGATCACAATCTTAATAAGAGGCCCAGAAAGCCTCTCTGAGGCTCAGTAATGGGAACTAACCTCAGTGAATTTGCTCCCATATTGCTAAATAAGGGATTAGCGTTAGATGGGGAAAGCCACGTTGCTTATTTTGCAGAGGCTGCCTACCAATCATTGTGGTATCTGAGATACATCTAACCCGGGTTAGATACATCTAATCTGGGTTAGATGTATCTCATTGCTGGGCTCAGAATCTGGTAACAACACTGACTGCACTGATTTGTGGACTTACACTTCTGAAATTTTCTAGAGACAGCATTGCCATTGGAATAAATTCCTGGAATTGAAGCCGATTTGAAAGCTGCCCAAGTTGGAGAAGATTTGTTTATTTAGGCAAAAGTTAATGATATGTCTGAACAAACCATAGTTTCTGCTCAGTAAACCTTTTAAGAGCATTTATACAGAAGGGATTGGTTCTACTGTTCTCCATCTCATTGCCCCACCAGCAATAGGATGGGAAGAACATGTGGACTTAAAGCTTACAAAGCTTTGATTCAGAGCATGTCCACAATTTGGTGTTATCCAGATGTGTTGGAAATCAATACTTCCACTGGTCAGGTGGGCTGTGAATTCTGGAACTTACAATTCAGCATATGTGAAGGACAAGGACTTCAGCCGGCAAGGACCACTTGAAATTATGTGTAAAATAAGCAGTAGTGATGCTTGATGCATAGCCCCAAACTTTCAAACTGCAGAGCGAGAGAAAGAAAAGGAAACATTGAGTACTAGGTTATGCCACTGAAGGAGCAGAACAAAAGAGGAACGGGATAGTTTTGCAGATTGCATGAAATAACCTTGAGACGAGGGAGATCCAAATTCAAGTCTGCCCTTAGCTATGGAAGTTCATTAAGTAACTTTGGGGCAGGTATTATCTCAGCTTAGCCTACCTTAAAGGGTTGCCATTGTGAGGGTAAAGTTGGGGAAGGAGAAATACTATGTCTGTCTTGAGCTCCGGGAGAAAGCAGAGCTTATGAATATAATAAACCTGAAGGTTTATTAATAGCTAGCTGCAGAGACTTTCATTGAGGGACACATCAGGGTTGTCTTTGACCTCAGGGGGCTGGGATGAATGTGGCCAGGGTGGGTGTGGCCTGCTCAATGTCAGTCATGTCGGGGGCACCTGTGGCAGCCTGAGCGCTCTGCCAGCAAAAACGGGCTCCCGAGCTCCGTTTCTGGCTGCAACGGCCTCCTGCAACCCTCTGCCAGCGAAAACGGCCCTCCCAAGCTCCATTTTCACTGGCAGAGTGTTGCAGGAGGCCATCGCAGCTGGAAATGGAACTCGGGAGCCTATTTTCGCTAGCAGAGGCACCGCAGGCCGGTCTCTCATTGTTTCCAGGGTGGCCCCGTGGGCCAGAACTAAGCACCCCATGGGTCGGATCTGGCCTGTGGGTCTTGAGTTTGTCACTCCTGAACTAGTACCTCATACCTATTGATTAAATTGACCATTAGAAGAAAACAATGGTTCAGTTAGTTCCAGTGCAATGCTATTTACTGAACCAATCCTGCAAACGAATAAAAGGGATGGAAGACACTCCCACTGACTGTAGAAACTACTTTTTTCCAGTTGCCTCCCATTCAACTGAATATATGAGCAGAGGCAGCAAGAGAGAAGGCTCTTTAACTGTTGAACATTCCAGGAGAGGAGGAGGAAACCTCAGTCAAGTTCTATAAATATTGTCAAGGAAATTGTATCAATGAAAGAAGGGAATTAGTCACTGTCTCTGTAGCTGTGGCCCCATGCCAAGGAAATTTAGAAGGTATCATTGTTGCTCTCAGGGGAGAAGCTGGAGTGGAAAATTCAGGCCGTATTGTAGTGATTATCTTATCCCCATATACATAAGGACTGGGGGTGCTTCTTGCAAGGGTTTTTACGGTGCAATTGTCATGCCTTGCCAACTTTTATTGGGGAGATGGAAGTGCCATTGCAGTATCTAATCTACTTTTTCTTCCATAAGAAATTCATCAAAGAGGGGAATACAGAATAGCTGAATGGTGTAATGCGACTGGCAACATTAATTTCCTGCTGTGAGCAAAATGCCCAGCATTGCTAACTTACATTCTAGAACTGAGACCTTTTGTCAAGGTCATGCAATACAAGGTTGTGTATTAAGCATTGGCAGGCATGCAGATTCTACAATTATCATAGCTCTGTGCTGCATTAGATCTCAGGGGATCTTTGTAAAGAAGGGGAATCTGGAAGGGTGAATGCTCATGAACAAAAACAGGTCTCAGGGCACCATAGCCAGAGGAGTCTCCTTCCTCATTCCTCATATAACTGCTTACTGGGAGACGTTACAGACCCAATAAGGGAACTTCATTTCTGGATTTCTGTTGCAGGTGATGAGTTCCTGATTTAGCTAATTCACTTAACAAATGCGGCAACAAAAATCATAAAATGGGGCAAAACTCACTTAACAACTTTCTCACTTAGCAACATAAATTTTGGGCTCAATTATGGTTGTCAGTTAAGGACTATCTATAATTCAAATTCACATTTGATAATTCACCATTTTGCAACTGCCATTTTAGGCGAGCACCCATGATGGGCTCTTCAGATGTTAGAAATGCCTATTGGTTCAAAAGAAATTGACAATCTCTGATTTATAGTGTTGAATTACATGTGATCTTATTGCTGAATGTTTATTACTTCAGTGCTTGGTGCAAAATGAGAAAATAAACCAGCCCTGGGTTATGATAATGCATTTGTTGAGAACGGGGTGGGGGGGGAACCATGGAAGGTGTTATGGAGTAAAAAGAGCAAAAGTGGTATTTGTGAAAATTAATACTACTTGTTTGTTTTATTCTCATATACTGTTTTTCATGTTCATTTTGCATTAGTATATTAACATATTTAACTGTGTTTACCCCCAGAGTGACTTATGTGAGATCTGCAGCCTTATATATTGAATAACATAAATAAATCATAATTTTAAGTCTGTTTTATTATTTTTTTCCAGGATGGGAGCATTTACATTACATTCCAAAACAGGGAAGCCTATGCCATCTGTCTCTAATGGGTAAGTCATATTTAAGGTCTCCTGCAGATTAGAAAACAGAGAAGAATTGGTGCATTCTACCCCTTCAAATCATCAATATAAACTGCATGAGGAACTGAAGTCTTTCTTACCAAATTATGAGATATCCACTTAATTTTTGTTTTTAAAAAAATCCCTACAGTGTTATCCCGAGCCTAGCATTAATATTAGTAAAAAACGGAGTAATCTAATTTTGCTGATGGAGTACTTCATTTATGTTTTAATGGAGAATTTACACACAACATAATGTAATAGAACTCAGTTATCATTAATGTGGACAAGTTCACAACAGCTCAGATATGATCTTGGCAAGCTCAGCCTATTATTGTTGGCTCTTTCTATCATTCTTTTCATTTTTAGTGAGAACTCAACAACTCTTGTCTCATTTGTTCTCATAACTCAATTGATAAACCATGGAGAGAAAGGGGGGGAAAGGCACATCTCACCATTCCTATTTAATATTCAAAGCAGGTAATGTCAAATCTGTTGGGTTTCTTCTTCCTGAATACATAACATCCAGCGTGGGTCTCAATTGAGCTTGGATCTTGAATATTGAGTCATCAGTATTTAAATATGTATGTTCACAAAATCGTCTGGATAATCACACATATTTGTCAAATAAGTGGATTGTTACGCATGTGGCCAATTCTATATATGTGTTGTCTAAAAAAAATGTCAGAGGTGAGCATTTTTGCCAGACAATAACATTAACAAAATATCTTCTAAGGTTGATTTAGAATTCCTTGTGGTCTTGAATTGTTCTTCTTTTGTTAAATGTGCAACAGAAAGCTGAAATATACTAAACAAACATGGATATCTCTTGAATCTTACTTCTACGGAAAAAGCAAGGTATGGGGTACTGGAAGGTCTACCACAACTCATCATGGCCAACTCGCCGCAGCCAACTTGCAGTGGCCAACTCACCAGGGCCAACTCGCCATGGGACAACTTGCCATGGCCAACTTATCACAGATAAACTCACCGTAAACAAGAGTTACACAAATGTTGAAGAAATAGTGGAATAGAATCATTAAAGAAAGGATGGCAAGGGAGGGACAGAATAAAATGTGAATGACGAAAATTAAAATAATGTTTTAGTTATTTTAAATAATTAAATTGAATTGTTTAATTGTCATGCAATGAGTTGTCCTGGGGCGAGTTGTCCTGCAGTGAGTTGGCTGTGGTGAATTGGCCATGGTCAGTTGACCATGGCGAGTTGGCTGTGGCGAGTTATCCCATTCTGACTGGAAGTCACCCCTGCTGATATGTGTGGACAGGCTGATTGATACTGGCTTCCCTTCAAATACATAATATGTACAACTACAATCCTACGATTGTGTGACAGTGCTTTCTATGATACAGAAATATAACACAAGTTTAGCATGCGCACACACACACCAGAGTCACCAGGCAAGTGGCAGCCCTATAATGTGAATGAATGAGAGCAAAAAGGCTCTTTCCATCATTCTGAGAAACTTTGACCTGGCCAGTTCCAGATCGAAAGATGCCCTTTAAAGAAAACTGGTGGTGAAAGGGAATATAGATGAAACACAAGGCAGAAAGTAAACAATAAGGAATGATATCCAAAATTGTAGCAAAGTTTACTGCGATAAACCAGCACATAATATTAGAGTTGCCTTGATTTGGTTAAGGTTATATTACCACATTGACAATTCCAGATAGTTTCTGCCCCTAGCCATTGTTTCCTTTGAGGAATGTTTTGACTTTCCAATTTTGCCTGGGATCTCAAAACATTCTATTGGTCTCCCATCCAAGAATTAATTGCATCCAGTTCTTCTTAGTGGTTTGAGATCAACCAAATCTGGCTATGTGCTGCCACCTGCTGGGCCACATTCAAATTGATACATGGGAAAAACTCATCACAGTTGGTGGCCATTACCACAAACCAGGATTTTGAGTCCACCACTCCATTTGCCATCCATGAGGGATGATATTTAAAACCAAACCTTGCCTATGAAAGTAATGCAAATGGTTTACATTGACCATCTTAGTTCTAACTTTGACTATGAAGAGAGTTTAGAGTTTGGAGCTGTGATTATTAGGCATCAATCGCTACATAGAATAAGAAGTAAAATATTTTCATATTTCCATTCATTATTAATTGAATCTGTATGTATAATTATATCATTTTTCTAAACCCAATCCTTATTTCATCTACTGGTGAATGAAAATAATAGGAATCATAAGTAGGGTAATCCTTTTGATATAATTTAGGGCTTTATGTGATTTATCTTTCTGGCCTGAGAAAGATCATATTAGTTATTCACTGTCATACTTCTAATTTCCAAACTCCATGAACAAATAGACTTGTCATCAGCTCTGAAGATTAAATCCATTTTCAGCCATCATTATCCAAGACCTCATCTGTCTGTGTAGAATTAAATGGACAAAATCATAAAATTGACACTTTTTTAAAAAAAAGAAAAAGAAAAAAGAGGGTTTCAAGTAAACTGCTTTTCTTCCTAGCTTTGTTCTATCTTGAGTTATATCTCTCAATAATCAACTTGAGCTGAGCATTCAAATAAATATTTCAATTTTGTTGCTACACATTCAGGCAGTGGTTTAATTTGCCCCAAACTCTCATATGGTTTTAACTTGGAAAAAAATCTTTATTGGTTCTCAATTTTTATACTCTCTTTGAACATATTTAATGTTTGAAAGAACTCATTTTAATTTGTAATATTTAAGATACTTTTACAATGTCAACTGTGGGCATAATGTCCATGATAGCTTGTAGCAAACCAACAACCAATTCCACATAGAAACACACATAAAGTCAACCATCAATAGTAGAGTAATTAAAAGCCCTAGAAGTGCCTCCAATATTTCAAAGGGGCTAAGAATAGGTCCAATGCTTGAAAAAGCTAAACACTTTGGATATCTTAGTTTATTTAATCCACCTACCAGAGTTCCCTGAAAGAAGTACAGGGTTACTGAGACATTTTATAAGAGAATCCAAACAATATAATAGTAAAATAATTAATTAATAAAATACAAGAGAACACTTATCACTGTGTATAAAACCTACTATCCCCATCTAACATAGGCACTCAGTAGTCAAACCAAAATTGAGTTATGTGGCCCTTGCTTCACTTTATGGAAATGGAGCTTTGGGCTTTAAGGTCAAGTGTCTTGACAGGGAAAAGTCAAACATTTCACCCCTATGTTGGGCCATCTTGCTTAGCCCAACTGCTTTGCTTTGGCAAATATATCTTCTGTGCATAGCCACACATTCATCAGAGATTGGCTGGGGCTGATTTCACAGGTTGTTTTCACACAGTACCAAACACAGGACACCTTTATGCTTCATGGAGCTGCGTTGAAAGTGTGCTTTATCAAAGCCTTAATCAAAACACAGTATTGTCAGCCCTAATGACAAGATTTGTGCAAGTCTGAACACACTTCCCACCCTCTCTCCCTGTATCTTCATGTGAACTATGGGTTTGTTTATTCCTATTACATTCCAGCCCTTGACTCATCCTCTATCTGGCCTTTGCCTTGGTAATGGCTATTTAGCCTGTCCCTCAAAGCTATCCCTTCTTCCTTCTACTCCACTGCAGAACGTAGAAAAGGAGTTACAGGTTTGGAAAATTCAAAGTTGCTGACATTTTGGAGTTTCATAAGAGGAGACACTGCAAATGGAACAGAAAAAATAAAATTGACATTATTCTGCATCTTTCCTCCCTTTTCTACCCACTTCATAAACTATTTTCTCTTATTATAGAGGAATTCCAGGGAAAAAGTGTGGCACCATCGTTCTATCAGCTGAAGAACTGGGCAACTGTAGGGTGAGTCATTCTTTTCTCTTTGAATTTCTGTTCAGGTCTTTGCTTTCAAAAAAACTTGTCAAAAGAAGAAAGGATGCCTTTGAATTCAAAAGCCCCAGTGCCAGGGAGTCCCTGATGGTTAGAAAGCTATTTTGTTAAAGTTACACAGACATGCCATGCTACATCCAAATCAGAGATATCGTGTTGCGGAAGATAATGAGAGACTCTGATATTATTTTTTGTGATGCAGGACCACACATAAGGTATATATTTAAGCAAGTTCCATCTAAAAACTGCTATTTTTAAATGCTTTTATTATCTGTCCTGATCCACACAACTGCAGTACTAGTACACTGGAAATCTCTTCCCCTTCTGGCGGAAAATGCTAGCTGTATGTATACATACAGACCTGCGGATATTTAGTAAAACCATTGAAATTTACTTATTTATTTATTCCATTTCTATAGCCACTCAATTCAAGCAAGTTTACAATTCTAAAATTATAAAACAGTTAAAACAATTTTAAAAACTTTACAACATCTAAAAAATAATTAAGTATAAACATCAGCCATGATGGTGAATCAACCAATCATACTAAAGCCAAATAACAGGACCCTTAACTCATTCCAAGCCCCAGGCCTGGATACATAGCCAAGTTTTTGAAGCTTTGCAAGAAGCCAGCAGCGTTGGGGCTATTCTAATCTTCAAGTAGAGAATATTCTACAAGGCAGGGCTATAGCAGAAAAAGGTCATCTTCTAGTTCTAAATGAAATACAACATAATTTCCTAGCTAAATACTTTGAGAATGGCCAGCAACATGACCTTGGTAGAAGTCTCAGCAGGATGTCCCATGCTGAAGTAAATCAGATGAACTCTCACTGGTAGATCAGCAGAAGTAAACCATATGCAGAAAAGTAAGCTGGGCAGCTCCAGGGAGTCATGAGGCTGCAGCAAGCTATTTCACCCTGCTTCTCCAAGAGGGAAATCTACTGTAATTGTTAGCTGAAAATTTCCCATAATAATTCTGGGAACATGAACCAAGATTACAGTCAACATTAGTACCTAAAGAATGCTTATCATGGGAAGCTAAGAGCTCAGATTTGTGTTGTTTAAAAGATAATAGTAGATAATCACCAAAAATCACCAACAAAGAGCCTGTAGTACAGTGGACTAACGCACTGTTATTAACATCTGCTGCTTGCAATTACTGCAAGTTCAAATCTCACCAGGCTCAAGGTTGACTTAGCCTTCCATCCTTTCAAAGGTAGGTAAAATGAGGACTCAGATTGTGGGGGCAATAAGCTGACTTTGTATAAATATACAAAAGTATGAAAGCTATTGCTTAACGCATTGTAAGCTGCCCTGAGTCTCCAGAGAAGGGCGGCATATAAATTAAAGCAAAAAAAAAAAAAGGATGAATATCTTAAAAAATGGAGAAAGGAAGATTATTGGGCTCGATACCTAACAGGGTATTTGAGGAGAAACAGATATAAGTCTGGGATAGAATTGTGTAACTTCATATCCCAAATTATCATGGCAGTGGAAATTACAGCATGAATATTGAAGCGGGGGGGAGTCCCGCTTTCTTTTGTGTGTGTGTTTATTTAGTTAGGCTATTTTTTGACAACTTTATATAGATGCCTGAGTGGCAAACACACACATCAAACCCACACGATAAACCAATAAAATCACTTAAAAAAATCTAATTGAAGCTCCCACGAAAATTATCCTAATCACACAATAAGCATACCCACAGAGACTTCACTAACATCCTAGTCCCAATGCCGAGGGCAGAAAAGTCAAGTCTTTAATTCTTCTGGAAGACCACTTGGTTAGGCCATCTAAATGGGAGGGAGTGATTATTCCATATAGCTTTCCCCATGACAGAGAAGGCATACTCCCTAGGTCCCAACAAATGACACTACTTCACCAAGGGGAAGCCAACCATATACACTTTGTCACATCTGGTGGAACAGACAGACACTAAAAGCAATAGACAATCCTGCAAGTAACTGGGATTCATGCCATGGAAGGCTTCAAAGCTAATAGTTGGCACCTTAGATTACACCCATAAGTCCCCTGGCAACTAGTAGATCTCATATTAGAGGGATGTTAAATGGATGTGCTGCAATATTTCCAATATTGAACAAATATTTCATGTGAAGCCATTCTTTATCTGGATGAAATAATATCTGAAAGATATAGGGGGCATACAGTGAGCTGTGCTACAGACAGGCAATAGAGAACCCATTTGGTGTAACAGTTAAGGCACTAGAAACCAGCAGACCATAAGCCACCATCAGCACAAAGGCAGCTGGGTGATTTGGGGCCAGTCATTTTCTTTCAGCCCTAGGAAGTATGCAAAGTCAAACTACTTTACAATCTTGTCACAAAAACTATTAGTCCAAGCCATTGGCAGGATTCAGTATTGACTCAAAGGCACACACGAACAGATTGTGTTGGAGTGCTGCACTAAGTATAGAAAGGCCATAGTTTCCTTCTCTACTTAGCTAGGAAGCTCACAAGATCAACCTGGAACAATTATTCTCAGTGGACCCACATCATAAAAGGCAGAGTTTCACTCTTTTCTGAGAGCTGGTCAAGTAGTTGTAGTTTATCCCATCTGGGAAAAGCTGTCATACTTTTTTTTTTTCACAGCCTGTTTCCATTACAGTAAATTGACCTAAAAGATGCCCTCAAGCTTGTTTTTGCCATAGACAGGCAAAAAACACGCTTTCTTCCAAGGAAAAGGTTCAGAACATCTGGAGCTTTAAGAGTTATGACTGAGTTGTGTTGGTGATGAAGAAGAGAAAGAGACAATGTTTGGGTGATCCAAACAGTCAAGTATTGGTGGGCCAGTAGAAGTTTACTATCTCTTTACAACCACAGCCAATTTGCTGCTGACACCAAAGAGACCAAAATAAACCCGTGGCTGTTTTTCTAGAAAAGGATCAGCCTGTCTAAACTCCAGCAAAGCCAGACATTTTCAATCTCCTTTTCTCCCACGTACAGAAGTTAACACAAACAATATCACTATCTCACCTCATCTCGCCCACAAGTCTGACGTCTACAAAAGGGATAAAAAAAATTGCTTGTGCAATTCTTTGTCCTCAGACATACTTGTGTTAAATTCCCATGCCTTAAAAAAATGTATGCAGATCAGCACTTTCTCACCCATGTGTCCATGTACAAGTGTTTTCTGTGTATATCTGTGGAAATGGATGCACATACCATGGTACAAGTACATGGTGAAAGTTTAGGTGAATTATAGCTTGTTGTATTTTATCTCTTGCTTTTTTGTGCTTGAATGCTTATACACACGCCCTGTTTATTATCTAAAGTATGTGGAAAGGTTTGCATGTTTGTATTTACTCTTTCAATTCATAAAATGCACAGCCTTTGCTATTGCATGCTACTTTAGACATAAGATCCACTCAGAATTTCAGGGGTATGCTTGAATGCATTCAAAGCAGCCCATCTGTTGTGTTGTAAAGGGAATTTTACTCCCATTTCCATCACAACAAACCGAGACCTAAGCAATTAGCTTTACATGAACAGTCCTGCAGCCTGTGCTAGAAGTTGGCTTAACTCTTTCCCTTGTGCAAAGAAGATCATTGGAAGCAGAAGGGGGCTCTATTTCTTCACCCAGGGCCATATCTTCCTACCCATGGCTTACTAATTTCACCGTAACTTCAAATGTCTATTCATGAAATAGACATTTGAAATGAAATAGAGCTTGGAAAAGGAGGTCAGTCAAATGGGCAAGAAACTGCTGTGTTGCACCTGCTAAGGAGACTAGATAATGTTGCAAGATGCTTCTTCCACTGAAGCCCATGTGAGTCATCAATATTCATTGATCTCAAACAATGTCAGTGAAGAAACCATTGCACCGGAGAGCCAGCAGCCTTAAGGGGTCATTTTAAGGCCCTTCCCTAGGACACCTTTTTTTTTTCAATGGGCACATCCACAAGGCAAGGATACTTCCATGGGATATGGTCTGATTATTTGCTAATTTATGTAAGGCTTTCCCCTTAAAATTATTTTACATATGCATATCCCCCCGAAAATACACATTTTTCATATTATTATTATTTTTTTATGTGGGAGATTGTACTGCAAGATTCTGAGAAGTGTTAATATCATAGGATAATTGGATCCCAGTTCCATATTGCTTTAAGAAGGTTACATTTATTACATTTATCTCCAAATGCAAATTGATCAAAATTCTCTTTCATATCTAAACCCCAAGGATATTTTTAGGTTGAAGTGCAACTTTCTTAAATGGAAAAGGGCATTTTGTGTATTCTTGCATTCTGGGTGCTTATTCATATATCATTGCTTCTGAGACATGAACTCCTGAAATATATCTTACATTAATGTTATTTGTCACCCTGTTGTGTAAGTTCAATGCTTCATTCCTTACACATTTTCCTGTTTGATTTGCAAGGTACATTAACCAGAAATAGCAGTGATATTGCATCTCTTAATGCTTTCCAAACTCCCTTAGGAAGCATGAAAACATATACCACAAGCAGAGATAAGGAAGCTTGCTCATGTTCTTATAAGGCAACCTGCCTGGATTTTTGCTTCTTTTGAACTCTACAATCTACATTTCTGATCTGTGTTTTTTTCTTTTTCTGCACCTTAAGCTTCAAGCAACCCTAGATATTTGTTTATAAACTATGAAGTCCAGATTAGTAAATATTTTTTTTTTAAAAAAACCCAGAAAATTAGAAATGCTTTACTAGGTAATAACAACTCTTCAAAGAAGCAAAGACATCCTGACTGTCCTCTTTTTATTTTACCCTGCATGCTCTATTCCTTTTTTTTCTCCCAGTTAAAATGTACCTTTCGAAAAATTCAGTGTTCATACACACATAGTAATTCACTCATTTTCTCCTAGAAAATAACCACTGCTGACTGCCTCCAGCAGCACTGGCAGAGAATTTTGCAGAACAAAAATGCCTTGAGTTGGAATCAGAAAGGATTGATAAGTGGGGTACTAATCTCTTCTAGCTTCCTTTCATGCTTCCCTACTGGTAGAAAAAGTCTCATCAAACTGACTTTTCATCTCTTAACATGACACTTCAAGACACAATGTGATCTTCAGTGCTTTATAGCTTGAAACATTTGGCTTACAATAGCAAGGCTATTATTTCCTTAACACAGGAATATCTTATAGTGTATCTGCAGATAGTTCAAGCCAAATGGTTGGTCCTGGCGAGCATGAAATAAAAAAAATGTATTATACATGAACTCCTGCCAACTAATTGTGATATTTGAAAACTCCTGGTGGTGCTGGAAGACTGGATAAGAGCAACCAATATCCAAAAGGGTAGTGGGAGCATCTGAGAAAATATGCACCTATTATTTAGCATTTCTGCTGAATAAATTGTCAGGCATGTATGGCCATGAGCATTTTAAAAAGAATGTTACCATTGCCAGGAGCTAACTGTGCTTGTTAGTTGTGTGTTGTCTTTCTATTCCAACTTGAAGATGTATTCAATTCAACTCTGGGAATTGAAGTCCACATATCTTCAAATTGCCATGGTAGAGAAATACTGGTCTGGTCTTTCCTCTATTCATGAAACACAAATAGTTTAAAAGACTGAGGATGGAATGTAGATGTAATATATTTTGATCTCGGAAAAGCATTTGTTAAGGGTGTTCATGATATTTTTTTGTGGACAGAAAGGATAAATGTGGGCCAGATGATACTGTTAGATTTGTAACTGGTTGAACAATCACATCCAAAGGGAGCTTTTGAGTAGTTCTGTATTATCCCGGTGGGAAGGATTAAATGAAATTCCCCAGGACTCTATCCTTGGCCTCCTGCTATTCAGTATCTAGATAAATAGCCTAGAAATGCAATGGAAGGCATGCTTATCAAATCTGTAGATACAGAGCTAATTGAGAAATACCTCAGAGCACAAAATCACATCTACTTTGATAAGATTGGGCATTGGACCTAACCCACAGGATGATGTTGAACTGTGGCAAATAGGTAAGAGATTAGGGAGACCTGATTTATTTATTTATTTATTTATTTATTTATTCAATTTATATACTGCCCTTCTCCTATTGGACTCAGGGCAGTGCACAGCCAAGGATAAAAAACATACCAATACAAAATTTAAAATCAATTAAAAGAATTATACAGCTTTGGCCCACAGTTTAAAACAATCCAATTAAAACCCAATTTACACTTAAAAGCTAAGAAGCTAAAAAAGCTAAAAAGGGGGGGGGGTTCACGCCAGCCCTGCTTGATGGAAAAGAAAAGTTTTTAGGGCACAGCGAAAGGCCCGGAGATCTGGTATCCTTCGTATCTCTGGGCGCAAATCGTTCCAGAGGCAGATGCTGCCACAGAGAAGGCACTCCCCCTGGGGGTCGCCAGCTGACATTGCCTGGCTGACAGCACCCTGAGGAGTCCCTCTCTATGGGAGCGTACTGGTCGGTGGGAGGCTATCGGTGGCAGAAGGCGGTCTCGCAAATACCCAGGTCCGATGCCATGGAGCGCTTTAAAGGTGGTAACCAACATCTTGAAGCACACCCGGAAGACCACTGGAAGCCAATGCAGCTCGTGCAGGAGAGGCATCACATAGGAGCGCCCTCTTACTCCCATAATCCCCCGCGTGGCCGCATTCTGCACCAGTTGGAGACTCCGGGTGCTCTTCAAGGGGAGCCCCATGTAGAGAGCATTGCAGTAGTCCAGGCGGGAAGTGACGAGCGCCTGAGTGACTGTGCATAAGGAGTCCCGATCCAGAAAGGGACGCAACTGGCGAATCAGGCGGACCTGATGAAAAGCCACCCTGGCCACGGCCATCATATGCTCTTCCAAAGACAGCCGTGTATCCAGGAGGACGCCCAAGTTGCGAGCCCTCTCCATGGGGGCCAATGATTCACCCCCAATAGCCAGCGTTGGCACCAGCTGGCTATATCGGGACACCGGAAGCCACAGCCACTCGGTCTTGGAAGGGTTGAGTCGGAGCCTGTTATTCCCCATTTAGGAATGTATGAAGGATCTAGGAGTGCTCTAGAAGTGCTTTGTCTACATTAGGAAAAAATATGCATAAAATGCAGAGCAGGGGAAATTCTACATAAAATCCACACATTCTTGCAAGTCAAAATGCAACTTATAGAAGAATCAGGGGAGATGTTTTAGCAAGCGAAATAAGATTGTTGTATTTATGTAATGCCAATCCTAACAAGATTTTTGTGTGTGTGTTCACAGAGCAGAAATGACGCTTTGATAAATATATGAAGTTGTTTATATTTTTCTAACTCACGAAAGTAACTAGTTCCATTATAATCCTCAGGGCCTGGATTGATTTAAATGCCAGGAAGTGGAAAAGTGTAGTGGATGATTTATCTACTATGAAAATCATTGGCAAGCTGTAACTCTTCTATAAAGAGTTCAGTTTAACATGCTTCAGTGCATGTTCCAGAGACCGATGGGGAAAGAAAATACCCGAGTACCAAAGTCTATGAGTAAAAAGTCTTAGTTGTAGGTGCAGTATCCATGTTTTATGCCAAACTGATAGCTTTCCCAGATTTTTCAAGCCTTGCTCATGCTATTATAGTCCTTCAAGCTACACACTGGATTAGAATTTATTTCAGTGGTGAGCCTCAGTCTTTCTTTTCCCATTTCCTATTGGGCCAATTGCAAACTCTGTTGTTTATGTTTAGTACTTTACCACTTTGCCATACAACTTTTTAAAATTGCTGTTAGCTCAGCATCAATGCTGTTAGACAATATATTTTCTGCTTCCAATTCCAAGGATGTTGCCACAATGCAGTTCTGTGCCAACAAGCTGGACAAGAAAGACTTCTTTGGGAAATCAGACCCTTTCATGGTATTCTTCAGAAGTAATGAAGATGGAACGTGAGTACAAGTGGTTTTTTTTTTCTGGGAACAGATTTGCTCCAGTTTTAACTGGCTCTTCACTAGCACACGGTGAAATTTTCCATTGATACCTTGTTGGTCATTCTGGAATTTTGTTTGTGATTTCCCAATCTAGCCTATAAGTCTGCGTTGTCTGATTATCATTCTTTCAAATACCAGTCAGATCCAACAGGTTTTATTTAAGTCAATCAGTGTAGCTGGTTGCTGCTTCCTGCTCAGGCTTTCTTTAGTAAACAAATTTTTAAAAGCTTCATATAAAGAACTTGTCCAGTCTAATGCCTATCATGGACAAGACTATTGTAGCCATATATAATCTGCCTTAACACCAAAACAATGGGTCCCTTCTTCTTAAATGTTCTTCACCTCACATTCCAAAAATACAGTCATTTTGGTTAATTGAAAAAATCATCAGAGAACATCAAAAAGAAAAGCTTGATTAGGCCAGGCATGGACTATTAAACTCAGGGTGGATAAATGGTGGTGTGTGTTGTTTTTTTTTTATCCTTTCAGTTTTGCAATCTTAACAATTAGGGTATCTATAGGATGTGGTTTAAAAAATCAAGATGATGGCTATGATTGTGTGATTTAAGCTTTACATGTTCTTATGTGTGATCATACTATGATGGCTACCATGTCAATTGGGCAAACCTTTATTGTGAGTTGGAAATATTTTTTTGGACCAGTTCAAGTAAGAAACTGCTTTGATTAATATTTTAGCTGATACAGGAGAAAGTAAAAAGACTCAGGTATGCTAAATTTTCAACTTTCAGGATCATTTTAAAAAGATGATTTATGAATATTCCTAAACAAGCAAGAAGTGAATGAAATGAGATGTTGTGTTTAATAGAAAAGGGTCTGGGCGAAAGTTAACTAACAACAAGACAATTCCCTAGCTGACCATTCTGAATAATTAAATAAGTAAATGAAACTCAGATCTCCTTGAAATTGAGAACATTTTCCTCAATTTTCAATGTGCAAGGCTGGTGCTGAAATAAAATATTGGTTTGCATCCTAATTCCCAGGCTCAGACCCAGGGGTGAAATGCTACTGGTTTACTCCGGTTTGGGCAAACCGGTAGTAATAAAAACTACCGGTTCACTTGAAGTGAACCAGTAGTAAAAAAAAAAAGAAAAGCTACCAATTCAGGCGAACTGGTAGTTAGCTACCCGTTCGGGCAAACAGGAGCTAAACAAGGCTACTGATTCCCCTGAACCAGTATTTCCGATGATCAGCTGTGGCGCTGGGTTTAGCTTTGCTAGAAAACAGGATTTCCTGCTAAATCGCACGCCACAGCTAATTCCTTCCCTCGCTGTTCTACTTACCTTCCCAAGCCTCCTTTTGGACTGTGCATACGCACGTGCATAGCACGCACCAAAAGGAGGCTGGGGAATCAGCAGGAAATCCTGCTTTCTAGCAAAGCTAAATTGCACACCACAGCTGATCTCCCCCTGCTTCTACTTACCTTCCCAAGCCTCCTTTTGGTGCGTACTGTGCATGCATGTGCACATGCATGTGCAGCACACAGTTGGTGCACACTGCACATGTTTGGCACACAGCACACATGCGCAGCCAGCAAACCGGTAACAAACTGGTTTGGATTTCACCTCTGCTCAGACATTTTTTTATGTGAGCAGGGTGGAGATCCATATTCCCAAAATCAAAATCTGGTAGATTGGGTAGTCTGAAGCTAAGACAGGCTACCACTGTGCTAGGCAAACTCTTTCTCATTGAGATGTCCCAACCAAATTACAGCAAGGATGAACAGAATGCTAGATTTGGATAATTCATGTTTATGAGTCATGTAGCCTTAAATATTAGAGGATCATTGCAAAAGAGTCACTTTAAATCTGTCCTTCTTCCAGCAGTAGGTTGGGTGGAAGCAAGCACAGACATCATGGAAAGTTGAGCTAATAGAAAAAGAAAAGAAAAGAGTGATCTGCCCAATTTTGGCTCCAGTCATTATTGGAACATGGCTCCCAGCAGATTATTTCTTAAAAACACAGGCCCTGCCTGGAAAAAAATTCCCCCTCTCCTTTCCAGAGATATTGCCATATCTTGCTGTTTATTGCTTTAAACTGGTTTCCAATATAGTTTGTTCTGCTTTCAGCAAGTTTTCTCTCTGTGGGAATGGATATTGCACTACTTGTGCTAATAAAAGTATAATTTTAATAGAAAATATTTATATCCTCTGTGAAAAATGTTAGCTAATATTGCATGAAGTTGATGCTTATTTCTGCTGCAAGTGCTTGGAGAATGCTAGTGTTTACAGCTATTAAAATAATCCATTTTTATCTTGATCCAACCCAGTGCCAATTTTCATCATCCATGGTGATTTGGAGAAGCATATTTCAAAAACAATGAGATTTTTCTTTCTTCTTTATTGTTGTTTAACCCATTCTTCAGTTTCTGATAATTAACTTAAAACTAAACAGATGTTCTGTATCTTGCTAGATTTACCATTTGTCATAAAACTGAAGTGGTGAAGAACACTCTGAATCCAGTATGGCAGTCATTCGCTATCCCTGTGCGAGCCTTGTGCAATGGAGACTACGACAGGTACAAGTTTCACAGAATTAGTATTAACATCTGACATGATTTGTTCATTAAAAGTGGTTAGAACTGATGTCCACCAAATTACAATCACAGTTCTTAGTTTCTAGAATAGCTGGAGATTTAAGAGTTGTAATCCCAACATAGGGACCCTAGTGGGACCAGTTTGGAAAAGATCAAGTTAGAAGAAATGAATTATAACCCCTCCTCAGTTTAGCTGATATCCCTAGATTTTCCAGATGTTCCTCAGCCATCTGGAACAAACTAGAGCCAGCCATGCTTAGATTTCTAGATCAGCCAAAGTCGGCTACGTATTGCCATCTGTTTTTAGATGAAAATTCAAGTCTGTCATACATGCCCAAAATGTACTACAGTCACCTATAAGCACTCATTAGCAAACTTGGACCTTGACTTTAAATCCACAAAGAAAGGGAAATGTGATTTCAGCTGAGGATGAGTTTATTAAACCTGGTTGTAGAAAAAATTAATGGGAGGTAAAGAAACTCCTACAAAGATAGCTTGGATAGATAAGAATTGTCCCGATTGAGGTTCACTTTATTATAGGTATAGAAGGGCAAAAGATGCATGTTTAATTAAAATATTAAACTCAGCAACTTCCATGGTTCCATGAATTTGCACCAAACATGGCAGAAGCTGTCACATCCAGGAATTTAGTGATACGAAAGACTTTTCCTCCCTTAAGATTTTTAAGGAGGCTTAAAAAAACACTGACAGTCCTCAGAGCTGTTCTAAATTAGGGAGCTGTTATCCTGTCAGCATTAGTGAAAAGACAAAAGGGGGGAGCTGCTGGGAGGGCTCCCTTGGGAAGGCTGTTTGCCCGCTTCACAGATGGAACTGAAATGTACTTAGGGAGTGATGAATGGATGGGAATGAACCCAAAAAGTAGAAAAGGTTTGTTGGGAGAAGCACTGGCAATAGATTACAACTACATTGATAAAAACTGCCATTACTGTCAGTCCACAGCAAAAGTCTGTTTCAATTCAGGAATGAGAGTCTTGCTGATGAGGAACATCTTCAAGAGCACCCAAGGATGATTGGCTCCATTATCAGGGCAATATACTCTTCATTCAGCTTGATGATTTCCTATATCACAATTGATTCTCTGCATCTGTGTTCGTTTGAGAGCTGTGCATTAATTGTAGCTTTTATCAGCATATTTTCTGTTGATTAGCTGCTCAACCCTGCTACACTGTTTTCACATCAATGCTTTCTGTTAATAGAATACAATTTAGTTCTGAGAAAGCTCTGTATGAATCAAAAGCAAGAAATGCCCTCTGACATTTTAAAAGCTACACTGGCTTTAATTTAAATTCATTTTGTTGTTTTTTTTAAAAAAAGCATCTTTTTTTAGTCCCTGTAAATTATTCTTAAAAGACTTCAGAGATTTTGAAGAGATGAAAGCAAATAAAATTCCTCTTAATTAATTTTGTACAAATGTCAGGGTTGTGTTTTGATGAAGGTGTTGAGCTGGGGTTGATGAGTCCGTGGTTCAAGTCCACTCTCTACCCTGGAAATTGACTGGATGATTTGGGGCCAGTCACAGCCTTACCCACAGGATGGTTACAGGGAAAAATAAGAGGATGCAATGCTAGGTACACTACCTTGAGCTCCTGAGGAAAGGCAAATGTAGATCTAACAAATATGTAAATAAATAAAATGAATAGAAAATCTATTTACTCCTAATAGGTTTTCTTTTCCTAAAATGTCCTAGATGCACTTTTAGATGATTCTCATCTGTTGCAGAGACTGGCTTAAAGTAGGCCTTTAGTTACGCAGGGTCTGACATTTTTGCTGGCTTCTACTGCTATGTTCACCTAATGGAGCTAAACTTGAACAGTGAGGATTTAATTTATCTGCCAACTCTGTGTGTATTCAGAATAGCATTTTGAATTGGCAAAAGTTAGAAGTGTTAAGACTTTGAATCTTCTGTCCCTAAGACTTCCTTCCGTAATTAATTAGAATACCTTATTAAGTAATCCAGTGGCTTGGGAAAATTGGGTTCCATTCTGTATCTTCACACCAGCTGTGTTTATCCTGGCAAATGTGTCATGCAGAGCATGAAGCTTTGTTTGTAACTAATTTGAATAAGACTGGTTCACATATTGGACTAAGCCATGTTGATAGACAACTTTGCGTGAGATGGCTGATAGAGGGCTGCACTTGGTGTCCATGGACTTTCCCAGCCTTTTCCTGGGGGTTGGTGGAGATTTAACCTTGGAAAGGGGAATAGGAGATCTTTGGGAAGCAAAGTACTCCCATTTCTCCTTCCCCCTTCCATACCTCCCTAAGTGTCCTGAAAAATTGTTAATTGAAACTTAGCAGATCAATTGCTAAATGTTGTTGACATTTAGAACTATTTGGGGTGCCTGTGGGGGTTTTAAGGGTCAGAAAGAGTATAAAGTTGCAGTCATTAATTTAGCTATAAAAGTGGTCAAGAATCTGCCTTATTTACAAAGTGGAACTTAGAAGAATGGGGACTAAATCTGCTTTTTCTCCATCCTTCATTGCTTGATGATTGTTTTTCCCTGATCATTCATCTTCCTGTACAGGGCCATCTACTGTGTGTGTGTGTGTGTGTGTGTGTGTGTGTGCGCGCACGCATGTGCACATGCACATGCGGTAAACATTCAAGATGGCAACCACAACTGCAAGATTGATGTTTCATCCCTCTTTCATGCATAATACATTAAAAAGAGGTAAAACTTTGAACTTGATTGTGAACACCATCTTGGCTTTTTTTATGCTGCCGGTAGAGACACTTTTCCTATTAGCAGAGCTGATATGAGGGGCAAATTAAACCAGTGGAGCATAGGAAGCCAGGAGAAGAATGAGTTCTGCTCCCACCCTTTGTGGGTTCCATTTATTGATAACAGTATAGCCCACTTTATTTTATATTTTTATATTTCTTAACTGCCGATCTCCCTTCCTTAACACTATTGTTAAATTATTGGAAATGATTATGAATATTTTTATGAAGTTTCAAACATCTCTAGTACATAAACTACATTATCTAGTTGTGATTCTAGCAACAATAGCAATAGCAAAAGCACTTAAACTTATATATTGCTTTACAGCCCTCTCTAAGTAGTTTACAGAGTCAGCATATTGCCTCCAACAATCTGGGTCCTCATTTTACCCACCTCGGAAGGATGGAAGGCTGAGTCAACTTGAGCCTGGTGAGATTTGAACTGCCAAATTGCAGGCAGCTGGCAGTCAGCAGAAGTAGCCTGCACTACTGCACTCTAACCACTGCACCACCACGGCTCAAGTCATTAAATTAGTGCATTAGTAATATTATTTACTGCTATTTCAGATAGGTGCATTGTAACCAAAAGTGGCTTGCTAAATCTACCTGGTGTATTCATGATAAAGGTGAAAGTCAGACTGGGAATATCTGACTTGAATTTCTCTAGCCAGCATTTTGCCCTTAAACTGGGTTCTCATGACTCAAAAGATCACAGATTAATCAGACACATGTTGGGTCAATCCACCCTATATGGTTAGCCTCTAATTCAGTGATTTATAAGAATCTGAACATTGAGTGAATTGAATAAACCATGGCTCAGGTATCATTGGGTAAATGTGCTGTGTGAATACAGCCATAAAGTGCTAAACAAACATGCAATCCCAAAATACTTACTAAAAGAAAATAAATCAGTATATTTGCCAGGCAAGGTTTCTGGGTTCATGCCAAGGCTTCCATCCAAAACTGTAGCTTTCAGAACATTCCTCCAGTAGTGCCAGCATTTTTCCAAGATACTATGGAGCCTGTTTAACTATGCAAAATATTTAACCACAATTGTTTCACAAAAGCTATCTGAATTAGATCTTCGTGGTAGTATTTCCCAGGAGGTACACAGCCTTCAGAAATATGAGCCCACACAGAAAACAAAACTACACATTACACTAATGAAGTAATTAGCAACCATATTTATGTTTCGTAAATCTTTTAAGTGCTAGGCACAGAAATGTGGAGGTGGGATGGCACAGAAAAAGACCTTTAACCTCCCTGTTGGCTGTAGAAATCTATGCAGCAGGTTGGTTTCGGACCCCAGTTCTTCATTGCTATATATGCATATGATTCCAAAGTAAACTCTTGAAAGTTGCAGCTCTCTATATTTTTATTGGAAATAAGCCTCACTGAAAAATTGGATGTGTGCATTCAGTTGAAGCCTTTATAGTACACGCAAAGAAAGTTTCATCTGTAATCTTGTCTTTCTTCAAACTCAAATTCTGAAGTAATTGTTAATCATCCAGCAAGGTGACAGACATTTCCCAATGTTAATCCAACATTTTTTTATTTTTTTGTGAAAAGTGGTAACTGTTTATTTTAAAGCCAGTTGGATCTCAGATTTTGAAGTATTCACTTATCTTATGATTTAGCTCTTTTTATTTTGTTAGATTAAGAAACAAATAAGAATGTGTGTTAGTCCATTTTTTAACCTTAAATTATCTTTTCAAATGATTGATATCAGAGAATGATTTGGAAAGTGTTCATTTTATTTCATCCGATACTTTCTTTTTAGCTTCTAAACATCTGAATACATGCAGCCTCACCAAAAGACTACATTATTAAAGTTCTCTTTTGTAAAATTCATGTGAGATTCCTATATTTAGTATTCTTTTTTACTGAAGGCAATATGTAGCTGCAATCTGAATATGTCTTCTTAAAACTGAAATAGTGAAATTGACTATTCTCAGAGTTCAGTGGAATTTACTCCTAGAGAAGTATATGCATGAATACTGTATATACACTATGATTAAGACTTGTCCAGCTTAATGGAATTTATTCTGAGTAAACATGCATAATGTGCCATTAATAATCTGTTAGATTGGATCCATTTTTTACAAGTTTGAAAATTATTCATTTTATAATGATTTCAGGGACTCAGCGGCTGTTGTTTATTGGTAGTTGGTTGTATAGTGGTAATGTTCTCAAACTCATGTGTTTGAGAACATTAAAAGAAAATCCAAATAAAACTAGA